TAGTGCTTTAGAAAAAATATTTTTTGGAAATACTGATTTTACAGACATTTGCTGTTGGACTAAATCACAAAGCATTTGTGATACACAAAGGATACACAAGGAATACACAAAGCATTTAGGATCAAAATGGTTTTTTCAAAGCTAGCTATGGTGTTATGGCAAGTCTATCTTAAACTTGATGCACCACATACAAACATATTCATATGTGAACTTGTGTCTCTGCCTGTTCTAATTGTGCCTAGGTATCTTTGGATGTGGATTTACACGTCTTCATTGATTGCAGTTTTTTATGAGATAACTAATAGCTTAGCAAAAAAAAAAAAAAAACAAACAAAGAAAAATCTACGTACTGTGGGAGAATATGGATGCTAATGGATATGGATGCAAAAAAATTAAAGGGAATAGTTTCAGTAACATTTGCCCTTCTGCCTTGTATTATCTGCTGGCTGCAGCCAGAGGAAAGGCAGAGAGGGTCTTGAGTTTCTTTCAGCAGGTGTTGGTCTATTAAAATATGAGAGAAAAATGTAAAAGAAATGAGGGAAAAGGAGCTTTGAAGATAGGTGAATACYCATATCATCTTGATTCACAAAGGTAGGAAGTTGCCTGTTCTTAAGGGAGATGAAATGTTTTTTTAGGAAGGCTCTGTCTGGCTCGCCTAGCCTTGCTCAGATGTGCTAGCAAAGCTAAAGAAAAGGATGTGGTACTCTCAGGCATCAGCATCTGCCTACAGTTTGAAGATGACTAAATGTTGCCTTGGAAATTTGAGGTAAGACTCTGGACATGAGATGGAGATCCGGGAGATCCTTTGAAAGGATCACTATCTGCTTTAACCTGGAACCAAAATCTCACTTCTCAGCTCTGCATGAAACTCATGAAATGCAACAAGTTTAGTACTTGCAAAAAGGAATGAGGGAGCAGAATTGAGCTCTCTTAAGAGGGGTTACTACTGAAATCTGTCTAGGATAAAACATCATATTGCAAGAAAATACTCTGTTGTTTGCTCTTTTTCTATGCTGCAGATATTCCCTTCCTGTGGCAGTAAATAAGGAAAGCTTGAATGAAGCAAATGTTATTACAAACTGCTATATCAGCAAGCTGTGACCAATGTGTACATAGTGTTAGAGCCTCTTACTGCTCCTGCTCTGTCTGCTTGTGAAAGGTTAGTGGAAGAGATGGGGTTTAACCCTGCCTTTAAGCTAGTCTTARGCTCAGCTTGATCAAAGCAATAAAACACCCATAGGGTGCTTAGCAAAGGGACTCACTGCTGCTTCTGGTTAGACCTGCTCAGTGCTTGTGGCTTGGACCTGCCATCCGTTCTGTTCCTTCCTCCTTATTCCTGGAACTGATTTCCTTGGTGTTAACCAGTATATAGCTTTGATCTCCAATGGGTTCAATACAGTGGATTTGGGGTAGATGGAAATTCGTTCCAAAAGTACAGCAGCTTCCAAGGGCTCTGTAGACTTGGCAGTCCTCTTTGGATCATCAGTGATGTTCTGGTTAGCATTTGCTGGGTTTGGATGTGTTAAGATTAATGCTCTTTTTAAATTTTTTTTCCCCCTCCATCTCCCTTGAAGGTCAGGAAGTTAGTCCTTCCCAGGAACTATTTTCCTGGTGCTATGGATCGGAAAGCTAGCCTGTGTGTTTTCTCACATTTTATTCTGTGAGGAGACTGTATTTAAAGTTGCTTTCTTCTCTCCTTCTAATTTTGGATTATCCTTTAGGAAAAAAGAATCCCTCCTTCCRTAAGTTCAACAAATATTTCAGTCAGCTACTTTGGTTTTACATCCTTCACAAAATGACCCTATGTTTTTATTTGCATTACTACAAAGACTTGGAAGATGAAAAAATATTTTTTCTGCTGTATCACTAAATCTTTTTCCTAAATGGGAAATTTAGTATTAACTTATCTAATGAGAGAACCCTTTGTAAAACAAGGAAACCTGTTTCCCTCCTTGATTTTTTTGCAGACGGTTTTGTGCCCAAAGTGGCAATTAGATCTGCCAAATGAGCGGGAGAGCTTGTAGAGTTGTTAAGGGCACAGGGTTGTGTGGGACTTCCCACATGGTGATGCAAGTTCACGGCAGATCTTTCTCTTTTTGGGTAATTAATCTGTGGGTGTGTATGTTTTGTTTGTTTTCCTCCCTCTGCTTCCTCCATCTGCCCCAGAAGCTGCTCCATACACTTCACATGTTGAAGCATCCTTGGAGCAGGGGTTTTATATTCACAGAGCAAGGTCATAGAGAAAAACCTGTGGTTTTCCGAGGGACTTTGTGCTGTCACACACAGAATTTCTCCCCAGAGAGCTGTTTGTAAATGAACATACTAGAAAATACCAAGACAGAGCTTTGGATTTAACTAGGCTGTGTTTGAGCAGCAGTTGAGCACCATCCCTGGTGCTGCTCTGCTGCATCAATAACTGGAATTTATAAGGTTGTCATTTGGATCTGTATTTATCCTTTCCTTTTCCTGAACCACCTGGGGACCACTTACAGTCACCCACACTGTAAACGAGCGCCAAGTAAGCGCCAGGTAAGGAACGATGAGTTCTTTCCTTGTCCCTTTTGGGGATATTGTCCATGTGTTTTGCTCACAAGACATGTTCTGTTGAGCCCCTTGGTGTTTGCCGTTTTGCAAGGGTGAGCTTGCCTCCCCTTTTCACAGCCACCAAGGCTCTAGAGCAGAAGGCACTGGGGCTCCTTGGGGCTCTCTCAGTATAGAGAAAAGCTCTATGGATGCATAGGTAGCAGCCATAAGTGCATGCGGATGTGGTAGCTCAAGCAGAAATGCAACCCATGGGCCCATTGGCAGGGCCCTGTCTATATATTCCTGTCCAGGAATCTATTCTTAACTAAGAATCTTAATGTTTAAATGGAAGCAGCATGGGTGAAGCTTTCATTTAAAACCAACCAACCAACCAACCAACCAACCAACCAACCAACCAACCAACCAACAAACCCCCTGATCTAGACAATCTCAGCTCAACCAGTTAAAAGTTTTGCCATTTTACAGGCAGCCAAACTCCCGCTCTACAGTGCACATACCCGGCAGCCTGTTAGATCAGGGACATTAGTGTCAGTCAGACCTGTCTCGCTCCACAGCTGAGCAAGAGCTGTTTGCAGCAGTGAACACTGGTCRCTGCAGAGGCCCTAAGTCCTTCACAAACCATCTGGAGTCAGGATCTTTTACAGATTTTAAGAGAATGGGAAACATTGATATTGCTGAATTTTGAATTAAAATGGCATTTAAATTTCACCACTTGAAAATCACGTCTTAATACTACAGATAGATACTGTCTGAGTGTCCTTTCTATCTGATAAGTGTAMAAATACATGAATGTTGTTACACATTGGGGTGAAAATGATTCTAAATTTACATGGAAATTCACATAATCTTTCACTGCCCTTGACAGTTATTCACAGCAAAGAAGTATTTTATGAAAAAGACAGCACCCCAGCCATTTATATGAATCCACGTCTAAAACCATTTATATTTTACGGCATGTTGTGTCACGCTGACAAAGTGATGCAAAGAGAGAAGGAGAGACACAGCTTTAACCAGAGACTAGCTTTTATTGTGCATTGTTATGCAACAGAACAAATGGAATTGGAGGTATGTAGTAATAAAACCAATATTCAAATTAGAATTAACACCTGAAATAGTAAACTGTTGGTAACAAATGTCTTTAATTAAAAAATATTGACTGTTTAAAAAATTCTCTAAGATTTTATATTTTTTAAAAGAAATGTGTGTTGCCACATAGAAAACAATTCACATATCCTATAGAAATAGTCACAAAACCCTTACTAGTCTATATTACACTATGCACTTTTTATTGTACAATATCTGGTATAGGTCTATCCCTAACCTGTATTTACTCTACACAGTACAATCATCATTAGAAAGTATTCATAGAATTAACTACACCATAACAATAAAAATATCAGGATTAATGGTTTTTTTTTTTTTTTTTTTAAATCACAGTTTCTCCACAAATATTTGTCATAGAAAATATAGCGAAGGCATGTGGGCACAGATGGGCGTGCGTACTGCTACGGCACGTGCGAGAGAAGGCAGAGACATAAACGACAGCAAGATGAAAGAGGACAGGACGCCAGGACAAGCATCTCTCCCGCAGGGACTTTCAGGAGTGACACGATGGATAGCGGCTCCCTCCTTGCAGGAGCGGGAAGGGCCTCACGTGCTCTCCGTGGCTTTAGGTCCCGTAGCTTTTAACCTAACCTTTTGTGGACACATCGGCACCTCCGTGCGTGTGGTTTCACGCTCCCTCATGTGCAAAGCAATCAGGAAAAAAGCACTGGTGCAAAGTTTTATAAGCAAAATGGTGATGGTGAAGACGTCGTGGTGACGGGTTAAAACAAAATGGACCAGGGGATGTTGTTGCGCTCTACCGTTTTGAAAGAACACATGAGCAAAAGAGATGAATTCCTGTCTTTAACAGCTGTCTGYGACTGCAAATCAGGTCACTGGCGATTGTGCACAAGCAGCTAAGGGCACAATTTTGTTTATAAAGAAAAGTCCAAACCTGCGAAGCCGTTTCTAGTACTAATGTGGCTTTCAGGATCAAAATATACATTTGGTTATTTTGCAAAATATGATAGCGCAGAATCGTGAGTGGTATCAGGAGGCTGGCTACACTTCTTCACACTAAAAATAAAGCTAGGCTTAACTAGTTACTTCAGCAAAATCTTTAGGTTATTGAGAGAGATTCAGTAATTCTGTTGTGACTATTCAAAATGAAGTGTTTTTATTTTTGATCTCATACGATTAAATATTTGAAAGAAACCATCACAATGTTTACAAAAATACAGCATGATACATACGGCTGTGGACAAATTTACAGTATAATGTTGACTCACACATTCTGACATGTTTTACCAAGTAGTTCTGGCAAGTGTCACCACATTAAACATACACCAGCAAGACTTACACCATCTGATCAATGTAACATCTTCTATTATAGTTTTCTTAAAAAAAGTGTAAGTTCAACACTGAAAAGCTACTATAGGATATCTGCACTGTGACATTTTTACACACAGAGTTCCTTCTCAGTTAGCCACTACTCGGCATTGACCTTTTGGGTAAAATTGCCTCCTGACTGTAGTGTGTGGGTGTGAGGGGCAGGTCTGTTGAAAATCTGTTGGTTGGGTAAGGTCCAATGTGACTAACRTGTGTATTTCGTTTAGGAAGTAATTGAGAGCCTTTCATTGTTTTGTCTTTTAATAGTATGAAATAAAAAACACATAAAAAATTGAGGAGGTATTGGGCATTCAAGGGCCTAAAGCATCTATGGGCTTCGTTAATCACAGTTCCAGTGGCACCTGTGTCCTGGAGCTCCCTGCAGCTCCTGGCACAGGGGGATGTCCTGGGTGGGCTCCATCATGAAGCCCTTTGGTCAATGGTTGGCAAAGAGCAGATGGATGATGGGGAGAAGCTACTGCATGGGTGAGCTGGRGTGTGACTGACCACCTCAGCCCTACCTGGGGTTGCAAAAATCACCCCCAGATACTTAAGGGAAGGATCCAAGTGGAGAAGGACGGGAAGAGAGGACAAGGGTGAAAAGGAGTAATTGGCAGCTTCCCTAATGTTGGCCCAGGGTGATGAGGAAAGCTAGGTGTACATGATACGTGTTCAGGAGAACTGGAGCTTATGAGGCAGCCCCAGAGGTGATCAAACATCACAGAGCAAACTTTCTTTTGCAAAATCAGTTCCCTGAAYCTGTCAGAAAACACCACCTCAGAAAGAGCCAGTTTGGGCTTTGAAGTGTTGCCATCCCCAGGCTCAGGTAAAAACTGAGGCAACTCGATGCTGAAAAGAAAGGGGATTATTTCTTTGGCATTGTGAGTTTCTAGAGGGTATCATTTTTTTCCCCCAACTTTTGGAGTGGCAATGGGCTCTTAGGCCTTYGAATCGAAACATTTTTAGTGGATGAATTTTTTTTTTTTTTAAAGTTGGTATCTACTTCCAGTACCATATTCTGTTGAGAACCCTCTTCAGTTCTAGCACTGATTTTTATTGTTGCTGTTTTTACAGCTCTCAGTCAGTCTGTGTCCTATGTTTACCTGCCCTAAGACCCCAAAGGCTAAATTAAGCTCTTCTTGCACAAGCCCTCCCTGAGTGAACTGTGGAGCATCCAGCTATGAGGACCAGCATGTTGCCTAGTCTCTCACTTCAAGGAATGGGTGCAAAACACAAATGAAAGCAGGAACAAAGAAAGGCAATTTAAAATCTCTAAAGTAAAGCAGTGTGGCTGCAGAACAGGGACAGACAAAGCGGAACCTGTCTTCTGAAAAGGCAATTTGTTGTTTAGCAGTCTTTTCTTTTTTAATGAAAACTGTCATGATCGACTCTAATCTTCTAGAAATCTAGATAAATACAGTGTCTATCCAATATACAAAGAATTTTTTTTTCCTTTTAGAAGGGTCTGTAATTGTTCTGAGTCTTTAAAGGATTCTGCTGTCAATGAGCGCTGCTGTTTTAGGCAGGAAGCTTAATTTCCTGGCATAGTTGGCTAAAGGAATTCCCTGAATTTTCCATTCTGTGTGGTATTTTAAGGTAACGTTTATAATTATGCTACTTTCTGTGATGAAATGGGAGACCATTTATTCTCTTGTCACAGCACGCAGACTTGTTTTTATATGTTGTGCTCAAGCAAAGCAAATGGCATCTGGTGGTTCTGAGTGTCCGGAGCTGGGCTGGTTATCGGGAGGCAGACATGAGTTTGGCTGTTGTTTCTTTAGAAACTTTTGTTATTTCTTTTAGTATCACCTCTTCTCTAGAACTATATGAAATGAAATTGCAGTCTCCCTTTAAAAGGGTTGTGAAGCATTTGCAAATAATAGGCACTAAGAGGTCTCATAGGGTAGGTCTTGAAGTGGGTTTCGTTTCCCTGGGGACATGACAGAATGGAGAAGCTGGAATGTGTGCTGCGTGTGGACAGACATGCTTTGGACTCTTAAATGACTTCAGGGTATGTCCAACAAACAGTCTCTCCTAAATTAACCACTTGCTACTGTTGGGTGGGTTTCCACTCACTGCCATCAATCGCCGGATCCGTCCTGCAAACCTCTATTGAAGACCTCGTCCTGCGATCCTGCGTGGTCAGTCCCTTCGTAATAGGAGTTGCCGTTGTGCAGGAAAGTCCCCACCGCGCGCCCCTGCCGCGCGTGTCCCACCGCGTCGCTGAACACCTTGTTTATTTGCTCTTCGGAGGGCATCCACCAGTCCGGGTTGGAGGTGCAGTGCATCCTAATGAACTCTGCAGGAATGCATGCAAGGACAAAAAACAAACAAAAAAGCAAACAAACCAGATTGTCTTTGCGGCATCTGTTGCTGCCCAGACACCAAAAGTAAGAAAAAATAAGAAACAGGGCATTATTGCTCTACTTAAGCAGAAATAAAGCCTTATGGGAAATGCCATGATAATGCTATTTTATTTCTGCGCAAGTGTGTTTCTCCACATGCAATGTGTAACTGTGCTAGTCACGGGAGGCACAGGACCAGGAGATTCCCTCTTGAGGAAATAAAAATAAATAATTCCAGGTGGTTCTAATCCATGTACGTTAATACAAAGCAGGGGGTGTATTTCCTTTGAAGCCTGTGCTATGTTTGTACCTTGTCAYGATTACTTTCCCGCACCTTTATGGTCTCCCTCTGCTGGCTGCTTCAACATCTGCAGACTCTAGTGCCTCAACCACGTGCTTGAAAATTTCCACTGAGGTTATTTCAATGCGCTGTTTTTTTCTGTTCGGAATAGCCTTCATTTTAAGTCCTACTCTTTTTATCTTTCTGAAGATGACACTTATTTTTCAAAGATAAATTTGCCTTAGAAATAGCTAAATAACTTGAGGAGACYAATTAGTCCTTTTGGTGACAAACAGGAGTTTTCAATGCACAAGGAAGCGAATTGTACTACATGCAATTTGGCCATTTAAGTAGCTACTGCTTGTATGTATAGCTGTGTGTATCAGATGACTACATTTTTTAATTTCTTTTCAGATTTTTGACATGCAATATGCTAGACGTGCAGAAGGCGCCTTACCAGTTCTGGAGATATAAATGCTAGCTGTATCTCAAAAATAGGCTTTCAAGTGTCCAAATACAGTTTTAAATGAGAGGGCATCTGATTAGATGTACTGGATAKGCTATATCTTATATGTACCTGAGCTGCTTTATTTATTCTATAGTATTAGTTATCCCTTCATTAGTTACCCCTTCAGGCTACCCAGGGGGGCTGTGGAGTCTCCTTCTCTGGAGGTCTTCCAAACCCGCCTGGATGCCACCCTGTGCCACATGCTGTAGGTGTGCCTGCTTGAGCAGGAAGGTTGGACTAGATGATCTCTAGAGGTCCCTTCCAACCTTAAATATTCTGTGATTCTGTGATTCCTGAGGCTTTGGGTCACCCAAGGTATTTTTAAATTCTCTTTTGTGCTGTTGAGAAGCCAAGGGCACAGTAAGTGGTGTAAAGTAACTTCCCTGCTGTCACAGCATCTGGAGAGCAGGGAACATCGTGCTTGCACATGAGTTACCGTGCCAAGGATCTCATTTGGTGGACATCTAGGACATGAGTTTTGCACAGCTCTTCCAGCTGTGTATCAGAAACTGCCTTGGTTTTAGACTTATCTCCCTGTGAATCTGCCCTGGTATCAGCAACTCCTTGCTTGTTTTGCTCACATGAGCCTTCACACACTGGTGTTTTTCTCAAATAAATRGTTACCGTGTAAAGGAGCATTGCTGTAATTTAGGGGAGTCAGGCTGTTTTAAAGCAGTTCCATTCATTAGTCAGTCATAGGAATACTTTTAAAATGTTTACAGAAGTTTAATCTACTCTGAGCGTCCAGAGAGAAGCAGTTTATGCTTCCCACAGTGGTGGGAATCCATACTTGGATTTGCTGGGAATTAGTTCTTGGCTTGCAAATAGGTAGAAAGCAATGTCAGGCTCCTGGCCCTGCAGAAAGGGTCGCGTTCCCTCCCAGTTACGRAAACTCGAGGGGATTGCTGGCCATTTTGCTCTCTTAACTAGTCTCTAGACACATYTGGGCTCTGTTCTGCTTCTAAAAATTAATGAAATTGGCCTTTCCTTTCCTCCCCATAGACATTCCACACATTCACTGCATTCAGCACCTCAAAAAGGACAGCAGCAAAGGGTCATCTACAGGTGGCTTTGCCATCAGTCTTGGTGGGAGGCAGGGCAAGGAAAAAGTATTAACTGTGTGCTTGTGCATAAATTATTAATAAATGTAAGGCCATTTAGTAATGGTTAATATACTTGTATTAGCCTTTAGTATCCAGAACTTGTGAGCCCTTGACTCTTGCTCCAGACCTGTGTGCAGTACAATGTGTGCAATGCACCTTCCCTTCTAGTGAGCTCTAACAGAGTATCATATGGCAGGTTAACAGCTCCCAAGGTTCCTGTTTAGTTTTTAAAAAAATCTTGCCTTAATTTGTCTGTATGTTAAACTGAGTTCTTTACTTGGCTGCATCATCATGCCACAACTAAAAGTCTAATCAACACGGTTTTGCTGAGTATTTCTAATCCAAATGGGCAGAGGATCAGCCTTGTGTGCAGCCCTCTTGGGTTCCAGTTAGATGAATGTTTTCAAGTTAGATGTTTTTATCACCTAATGCCTTTTATGATCAAAAGTAAGTTTTTTCATTATACTGCTTGGTGAAAAACAAATGTGAAGTCAGTTTAGCCTAAACTGTATTTAAGTGCTTGTAAAAATACTATGAATCTGGGGTTAATTAAAGAAATGCTAGTCGCATGCACTTAAGAAATGCCGACCCTGATACAAAAATATATTTTTAGAYAGACTTTGAAAAGTAATAATTTGTCCTATTATACATCGCAATAATAAGATTTCCTAAGAATTTTAAGACGTCAGTGTGAATCGCACACTTTGAGATGAGACCCTTTCTTTCTTTTGTCCAGCATCTTTGTCGATGTGAGATGCTTGCAGATTCTCCTTCCTTTTGTTGCTAYGAGTACTATTTTTCTCACTTAATGTTGCATCAGTGCTTCAAAAATAAGTTACATCCTTGACAACGTATTTGTTTACACCTTCCACCTAATTAACCTGTAGATGTTCTTGGCCACAGCAAGTTTTCAAACYCATTTTGAAACTTGGCAAGCTTTTGGCTCCAGTGATACATGGTGGCCTTGATGTCACATACYAGCTATACCTCAGGCTAAAAGTATTCCTTGGGTTCTTTTTTTTATCAGTGTCAAAGAATGTCACTCTGCTATTTTCTTAAAAAAAAGGAGAAATCAAGATCCTGATTTACCGTATGGATGTTTCATGTCAGCTAGTATTATGTGGTATGGCATTTGTCCCCTCTCTTAAATAAGCAGCCATATTTTTTTCTTGTCCTTAAATATATTCTATATAATATATGTATATATGTACATGTATACATATATGTATATGTATGCATATATGTGTATATTWTATATATATAAACTATATGTATATATTCACACGCAACCCCTCCTAGTTCCGCAACCGTGAGCCAAACACCTCTACTGAGGCAGAGCCAATGTGGTGAAATGAGATCACATATGGTGGACACTGAGCGAAAAGATGCAGTACCTCTGAGACATGTTACTTTTACGGGATCCAGAGGACGTCTTTCAGGACCTGTCTCTCCTGACTGCACTGACCTTTTCCTTTTTCCAAGGCCGCATGAGTACTTAAGCTCATCGGTTGTGAAAACAAATCTGATGAGATAGCGCAGTAGCCGTCTGCCGTCTTTCTTTGACGAGTTTACAGCTTCATCCCACTGTTTACTAGTGATGTAGACAGGGTAGTTGTTCAGCAACTGCTTGCTCCCCTGCAAAAGGGAAAGATTTCCATTGCATATTTTACAAGGCAATAAGAAAAGATGTCAGTTGCAATAAAAAATATGCTTTTTAACTAGCTGAGGTGCTGACAGCGAAACATGCGTTGCAGTGAATAAGCAATTGCTCTTACGGAGGACGCGTATTTTTAAAATCACATTTCCATTTTCTATCCTAGAATTTGGTGAGGTAAAAGGAATGCATTTTGAGAGAGTGGTTATTTATAATTTGCTCTTTAACGGGTAGGTTAAAAAGCGTTAAGAACTAGTGACTAGAGATACTGTTTAAATATAACCTTTCTTCCTTATGTATTAAAATGTATGAATGTCTTTGTAAAATGTATGAAAAGGTCTTTGAAAACGGATCATTTCATGGCAGTTGATGGTTTACTTCAGAGGTGACTTTTTTTCTCTATTTTTCTTATAAATTTATTACTTCTGTAGAATACACCTGAAACTTGACAGTAGTTATGTTACTGTGAAAAATATAAAGAAAATAAATAAAACAACTATGAAAACTAAAAGCTTCATTACTATTAATGAATACCATATTAACTCAAATTATAGCTTCACACAAGTGCCACTGTGTCAGCTGGAAACATATTTTACTTATAACCTTCATAATTTGCATGCTTCAATATTCCACCATTAAATAAGTGCTGTGGGACTAATTATGGGGATTCCCATAACCCACACATGTTTACAAACCCTCTTTAGTCAACGGCACCTAACCAGCATCACTTCAATTCCAGCTGCTGATAGAATACTCTAGCTGAGGATAAGTCAATTAACCTAAGATGGAAGTGTTAATATTCTGATTCTCAAGTAATTAAAGTATACCAAAAAAAAAAAAAAAAAAAAAACCACACACCAAACCCTCCTAGAGGCTCATTCTCTTTTACAACTTGGTGTTTATTGAAACATAAATCTGGAAGGCTGAGTAAAAGCTTCGTGCAGCGAATGCCTCAGGTGGGAGCTCACAGATGTGATGAGCGTGGCCCATGTGGGGCTCGCGGGCAGCGCCGGCAGTCTCCTCTTTGCTCTCACACCTTCTGTATCTGAAACTCCTTCACTGACACCCTGGCCTCTGTGTGTGTGTTAAYAGAAGCATTCTGAGGAGCATCTATTTTGAAGTTTTTTCTTCAGGTGATTGCTCTTGATTTTTCTGAGGTTTGATAAATCTGTGAAAGGCTGAATGTGGCTGAGGCTGTGCGAAGGGGGCTGCTGCAGAATCGGCTCCTGTGACTTCAGCTGTCACCGCTGTGACCCTCTGCTGCTTTTTGCCTCAGTGCTGACATAGTTTAACCTGCTGGCAAAGGCAGCTGCAAGCAAAGCCCAAGCTCTGCTAAGGCAGCTAAAACATAAAGGGCTGTGTCCATCTGATGGCCCCCTCTCCTCCACCCAAAGTCTCTAAACCCCTCATTCCCCCTGGCTTTTAAGCCCAAAAGGGAACCCCTTTCGCCTACAGCTGGACCCTGTTATGACTTGGGAGCTCCCTTCGCATTTTACTTGTCTCTCCCTGATGTCTGCGGGTCTGTCCCTCCCACTGCAATCATGGCACAAGAAGCTAATTCAATTTATACCAGTAAGTATGTCCTGGGCAGCCAATAATATGGCTGAGGAGGCTGCTGTGGAAAGGACTTTCTCCATCCAGCTCAACTTCCTCTGTGAATGTGGTGAAGCGGCAGCTATAGAGAGCTCTTTGGGAGCATTATGCTCTTCTGCTGCAGCAATATTTCCTTGGCCTGCCTCTCCTTCCCTGACCATTAAAGTGGTAACACAAAAGACCGTATGATTCCCATGTTGTCATTTTCTCTTGAGCAGTTTGCTCATCACTTCTATCTAAAGCTAATAATTCTCCCACTACAGATTTCTGAAGCCTACTTTTTTCTCCTCTATTAAAAAATAATGTAGCAAAGGAAGAACAACCTTCTTTCTGGATGCCAATGCAAACTTAAAACTCTGCTAAGTCTCAAGCCTCCTCATCCTGTTCTTGAGCCCTGCTAGCTGGGTCTGGACATCYCGTGCACGATGCAATTTTTATGGCACAGTGTGTGACATAAAAGGCAGGCTTCTCTGTTTGGGGAGGACACTCAAATGTGGCTTTGCCAAGTGGCAAGCTCTTCTAAAAAGCTGCCCTTGTGTTCAAGTGTATTGTATTAATGGAGATACAGKCTACAGTCTTTCAAATCAAGTGAAGAAGGCTCCAATACAAACCTCATGAAGGCTCACATTACTATTAAGTGGGGAGATGTGTAATTTCCTCAGCTCAAAGCTTTTTGTCCTTATCTCCTACTCACTTATAGTGTTAGGGTGCTCTGTTAAACCATGACTGTGTTTCTGCTTCAGCTATACTTTCATTGCATCCCGTGAAAGCAAAAACACTTTTGGGCAAAAGATTCATAGTGAATATCTGAGGCAGTCTGGTGTGTCCAGCAGCCACTAAATTAATCAAAARAAAAACTTCCAGAAAGGAAATAAACTGATTCTGAAGGAAGAATTGAGGTACAAATGTGTTCATGTTTATATTTGTATATGATTAACCTTATGAATAAAAGATTAGCATCTTGGTATGTGTTTAATTGAATAAAAAATGTTGTCACATCATGACAAGCTGCTCCATGTGGGATCTTACAGAACAGTTTCATTTCTGTAGTGCTTGAAAATTTTAGTCAAGCAAAAGAGTACAAAAAAGGAAAATGAAAGCTTGGGATACATTTCAGTGATAACAGTTAATGATATATATATATATATATATATATATATATATATAGACACACACACACACTATATTTTTATAAACACAGATCTGCACAGGATGAAAATGAATGGAGAAGCAAAGTGATTCAAATCCTGACCTGCTGCAAAGTGTCTTCGGTGAAGCTCTAGTGAGCTGGGCTACGTGGCGCTTGTCCTGTATTCAATTTGGTGAAAAGTAATGCAAGCTCAGACTAGACCTCTGTCTTCTCTCTTATGATTTTGTTTGTGCAAATGATGGCCAGTGACACGGGTTCACTACATGTCTGACAACATGCAGGTAAGTGCCTTAAATACAGTCTAAGCAAAAGATGTCTCGGTATCAAAATCTACTTGATTTGAGGTATTTTTATAGGTTTGGATAGAAACACAGTGTTGCAGAATTAGCATCACTCTATATCTGCTATATAAATCTCCATAGCTATCTGCTAGACAAGAGGAGGACTTACATTTCCAGCTTTTTTTCTCCCCAGTGCTGCTTGCTGTGCTGTCCAGCCTGCCCCTGTGCTCCTGGGGTTGCAGACCTGGCTGCTGAGGGGTCGGGCTGCTCTAACTAAACCATGAGCTGCTCTAACTAGGTGCTAGGACCCACACGTGGCTCAGCTCCCAGCCCCACATAGGGCTTTGGAAGCACCAGCCCTGGTCTACAGACCACGTGTAAAAGTGATGGTTCTGCAGAAAGCTGAGAGAACAGCTCTCCCAAGCAACACGGGAGCAGTGGGTACAGTTGGAGGTGTCACACATTGCTCAATAAAGTCAGATTAAGTTTGTGCTGGTTCTCTTCCACTTGCAGCGTTGCTGTGCCTAAGAATGACAGTTTCATAAAGACTTTGCATATTTTTACTAAATATATTCTCGCAGCACCTACTGAGTTATTTGCCTACATGTTTTCAATGATTTTTGAAACATAAAGATATGCAGCTTGTGTTTGCCGTATACTACCTCGGTCGGATGGTCTGCTGGCTGTGGTATCATAAGTTGGTTGTGATGCTGAAGGACAGTCTTCAAATAATCTAAAACAGTCTGGCAGGGCACTGCATGAAACAAATTGCAATTACTGTATATTAGCTATCTAGCACAAAACAGAACAACAATATTAAATCAAGCAGCGTTCTTCAGGATCGGTTTGGTACTTCTCTGAGATTTACATCAAATAGGAAATATTTCTCATTTTGTTTTGTGCAGTCATTTCATACAATAAAAGTACAACAGATGTAATTCCTGTGCTGAGAGCTYGGAAACTCTGATATTGCCTACATTTTCTGTCCACATGTTTTCTAAGGTTTTTCTAGTTTGAAATTATGATTACAAACATAAATTGGGTCAGTGGTAATGATAATTTAAAAAAAATCTGTAAATACTGTAAACAACCCAAACCACACAGAGAAGAAAACACTTCCTAGRCCTAAATCATACACTGATTAACATGTAAACATGCTCAAATGTTTTTGAAGCTATAGTCTGATTAACTACACTGAACAGATTTAATGATTCATATACTTTAATTTCTTTCCCCTCCCTCCTCTCAAATTTGTTATAAAACTCAGTGTTAGGCAAATCATTTTATTTCTCTTGCTCCTGTCCTCCCCCTTCCATTGCCATCACTCTCCTCCTTTTCAGTGGTGGCACCAACATCCTATTCCCTTCTGCTGGGGTGAGAGGTTAATTAGGGCTGATTCAATTACCAGTCTCTCTTAAGCAGATGCTGCCACATCCCTGATTAACTCTGGAGTATTTCTGAGCTGCAGTACTTTTCTCCTGAGCCTGAAATGTAGTAGGAGAATTAAACAGATATTAACCCAACATTAAGATTGACTTTTGCCTAAATAAGCATGTTTTAAGGTACTTTGTCAGTCTCACAATTTTTATGGGTTTTTTTTTTTTTTTTTGCAAAATACAGCAGAGAACTTCCTAGCTCCAGCAAAAAAAAAAAAAAAAAAAAAAAAAAAAAGATATTTAAGTGTTCCTTCTTTTTTATTCTTTTGTTATTCAGCCTTTACATCTGTAAAAGCCTAATATTTGGGGGCTGTTTTTGTCTTGAGCTGGTAATGAAAAAGAAAGCACTCAACTCACCAAGAATGTGTTAAGTTAGCATGTTAGTTTGCAGTGCTCTTCCTCAGGGATTTACACTGTTTCCTAGGCATTCACACCGGGCAGTAACCATGTCCCTGCCTAGGCACTTAAATCCACTTTGCACGTGAGCTAAGCAAATTACGTCCAGTGTGGAAGTGAGAGTGCCTGAGATGGATAAATCCATATGTCATTTCACCACAGGATGACTTTCCTGTAAAAAACATCAGTGTGTTTACTCTTGCTTTGCTTGATATATACTTTGCCACACAAGGTTATAAGGTTGTGTGTTATACAGCAGTCAGCATTTTGAGTGACCGATACCTGCTTAATTTCTCCTCTAACTTCACTGCTTATGGCCAGGCCTCGGAATAGTAGATTTTAGCTACCCATGGACATTGCTSAAATACATAAGGGGATGATATATATATACTTTTTTTTTGTAGGAAAGAAAAGCATTTTTAAGCGTCATCAGATGGTTTTAGAAAATGCTTCAATTCGGAAAAAGTCAGAAGGGCAAACAAGCTTAATAATCTCATCAGCATATCCCATAACCTTCTTGTCATGAGAAGTGCATATTTAACATACAGTAGAAATTAAAAAAAAGATCAATCAATACAACAAGTTCCCAGCTGGAACAAAGGAGAAAATGTGAGAATCTCAGGAAATGTTTCCATGTACTAGACGTTTGGAGGAGACGTGTGTGTGTGTGTGTGTGTGTGTGTGTGTGTGTGTGTGTGACTCATAAGAAGATTTATCTTTTTTTTTTTTCCCAATTTTATATACAGGAAAAGTCATGGGGCAAGAAGAATTTTTTTCCATGTGGATGGTCAGGGGATGAGACTTTATTTTGGGAACCATTTCTTACATTTGCTTTGCACAACCAAGTCTCCATGGCCACTGGCTGACTGTCACAGGGGATGGGATGAACTTGCCTGGACAGCTCGTCTGAGAAGGATGTGTGAATCCACTGACAAGGCTTTCTCCAGCACGTGGTGCTCATCATAATGATAAGGATGAAGTATATCAGTGCTATCCAAGTACCTACTGAAAACAAAATGCTGACTGAGAGCATAGACTGGGCAGCAGGAGAAAGCTCTCCAATGATCCTGAAGAACAGCATCAAGTAGAGCTGCAGTGTCCCAGTAAAAGCTAAGTCAGTGCAAGTGAAAATTGTGCCCTGCACGAAATATACCTGTTTTGTATATGTTTGTTGTCTGGCATGGCCAGCAGAAGATTAAACTGTGAATGTCCATGCACGGGTTACTTTTAGTCCGGTATCCAGGGAAGAAGCTCATGGATGACCRAGGTTCACTGCCCCGAGCAAATTCAGGAGTCCTTAGCTGAGATCTGGATAAATTCCCAGTCAGGTGGAAGTTAGTGCTGACAACCTGGATCTCCCAGTACTTTCTCAGACGCCAAAGAAATGATGGAAAGGGACCATRACATGCAACTATACTATTGCTTGAAAGACGAATGTCTGATACATGCACATGGAGGAGAGTTTAGTGCTTCTCAAGTGTCTCSTTCCTGCTGTTGGAAATCACTGCCCTCTCTAAATATGTCACTTTTTATTTAGCAAGTTTATCGAGCATAAAATTGCTGAAGCATCAACAACACCTGGAAGCTTGGGAGTTCTTTGGTCTTCAGGAACCTGAGTCCAAAACAATTTGTGAAGTTCGCATCTGGTTCTGGTTTTCTCTACTACAATAGTCCCTGCTGATCATCTGATAGCTGTTGGCCACCTTTGGTACCATTACCTCTAATCATGCGAGGCCTTGAAAGAACGCAAAATATCTGTCAGAAATTGCCACTTTTAGGATCTTGTCTTACAGCAGGGTGTTATTTTACCTGCTATGAGAATGTACAAATGCACATTTACTATGTTCTTCCAAAGGCAAAGGGCATGTGCAAGAAGGCAACAGAAAACTATTGCGTCTGCAGCACACGAGGAAGCAGAGCTTTACTTTACTTGCACTCAGATGATTAAGTGCTGATGCTTTCTCATTACTGGACAGAAATATGAAGGTACCAAAAGGCAGCTGAAGCTTATCAACACTTCCTCTTCATAAAAGCAGTAATGTTTCAGGCACAAAAAGGTACGGTTTTCATATCACTCTGATCACTGGAGCACATTTTGAGTTTTGTTAACTCATAAAACCTGCATACCTCATACAAACTATTGAGTACAAATAACCTCAGCCTTTCAAAGGGCAGCTTCTATTTGCAAAGTTTGACTTTTGGACCACCATATTAACAGAACCCTAAAGTAAACCATCAGAAAGGCAGCCCAAGGCTGGATAATCAAAGCTTTAGTTTTGCGTCTGTGTCCATCTTATGGTTCTGCAAAYGTCCTCCTTGCTGAGACATAAGAGGAAGTGCTTCCTAAAAGCAGATATAACTTTTTTAAGAGCCTATGGCTCCTAAGCGAGAGTGTGAATAATCAGTATGAATATTTATTTATTTTGCTTTGATGTGATCACTAGAGTCAAGAAGATCATAACCTRGAGAGCTGATTCTCTGCAGGCTTATGCATCTATCCACTATCAGCAACGCTAGCAACAGGGATCCCTGCTTGCTGTAACCAATGGAAAAGATGCTAATGCAGAAATAACAGTTGCTTGCTATGATTTAACAGAAACCCTGAGGGCAGGTAGTAATTTTCCTGCCCATTAAGAAGCAGCTTCCATGATCTTTATTCTCTAATTGAGAGTGTAAATGTCAGCAACTTGGAGAAGGCACTGAAAGTGGCAAAGTCATCTGCCCCACAGGAAGTGAAAATAAAAAGGAGAATTTTTGAGTRGGCTAAATGGAGAGAACGAGGAGATACAGGACATTTGGTATTGTGAGGGAAAGCTGGTGCAGATGCAAAGCAGTGAATAAACAGGCCGTGCACAAGAGGTGACCGGTCTTCATCACTTATTGATTAGTTTTAAGGCTTAGTTTTCCTGGATGACAAATGGAAAAACACCTGTTACACACTTACAGACTGTGGTTGAATCATCTCTCAGTCTTTTCGCTACGTCAAGCCACTTAATTCCTCTCTCCTTCCGAAGCAAGTTTCCCAGTCCATTGCTACTTTCTTCAGCTCCTAGCTGAACACGTCTCAGTTTAACAGTCACCCTCCTGAGCTCCTGGGCTCATGCATGGCCTCACTGTCAGTGCTAACCAAAAGCAGAGTCCCTCTACCCACCTATGGGCTGTACATCCAAATGTCACACCAGCCCTTTTGCCCACATTGTGCAGCAATGCCCACCACATCTTACAAACCATTCTGCTTCCCAGTGGCTGAAACTAAGTTAAGCCCATGGTTTTTGTGCCTAAATACATGGTAGTACACTGTTTCGTGCACTAAGTGCTCAAAGTTTGAGTCATCTTCCTCACTCACTGCTAGCTCTGGCATCTCCAAACTCTTGGTAATGATTTTATATTTTTGGGGCTCCTTTTTGGGCTCTCAATAAAATGTTCTAAATGTTTCTCAATTATCAGCCATTTTTTTCCCCATATTATTCTCATGATTTTGATGGTTGTTTTTATGAAACCAACTTTTTACAAAGTACCAAGAATATCTGTATTACTGGTTTGAGCTGAACTCTTTTTGCTCATTACAGATGTATCATGGTGGTCCCCCACTGCAGCTTGCTATGCTCCTAGGCTCTGCCCCAGGAGAGCAGGGAAGCTCCCCATCCTGTTCACAAATGGGATTCTGTGCTCATAGCTGACAGTAGCTGGTGCTTCCTCCTTGTGTTTCACCTGCCAGAGCACTAATCCCTCAGCATTCAAGACTCAAGACTCAAGACTTGATGGTTAGTGGAAAGTGTGTGCACGTTACCCCATCTCACTCGGATGGACAGCCCTTAGTTAAGAGGCTCAACATTACAGCATGTCCTCCTTTACTTCACCTTGAGCAGTTCTTCACTCAAGTTCACTTTAGGGCTGTTCTAGACTGATGCTTGACGGCCAA